GATTAGGGAAAATGTTTAAAAATGTATCGAATACTTGCTGGAAATGTAAACAAAACCCAGGCACTTACTACCATGCCTGGTGGATATGCCCTAACACAAAGAAATATTGGCTTAAGATTCATAGATGGCTGGAAAAGATGACGAAAGTACAGATAGAAATTAAACCGGAATTGTTTTTGTTAGGAATAGTACGATCTAGCTATGGTAAAGAGAATGACTATTTAATATTACATGTATTAACACCTGCAAGAGTAGTATTCGCCCAATTTTGGAAAAATGAAAATCTACCATCTGACCAGGCTATAATTTTGAAAATCTTAGACTGTGCAGAAATGGACAGATTAACTTTGGAGATGAAGGAGAAAGAAGATTCAATTTATTTTAAAACCTGGGAAAATTTTTATCAATGGTTAGAAACACGTTAGAATATGAACAGAACCTAAAATTGAATTGAACTTTAAAATTGAATAGAACAAATGATAGACTTTTGACTAAGTTTTATTTTTTTTAGATTAATAACATCTTTATTGCTAGTGACTTTAAATATTAATGATGATGATTAGAATTAGTTGATAAGTTATTAAGTATGGATATCTATTTAGAGGAATTTTACCTATTTATCAAATTTTAGTTATATGATTATAGTTAATTTTATCTTTACAATTGTTTAGTATTATATAAATTATGTTTATTCAATATTTAGATCCAGATGGTAGCTTGTTTGTTAAAGCTTGGGATTATTATGGGGGGTCACCCCATTATTGTACAGTACCTACCCTTATCCTACCCCAAATTCCTATTCCCATTCCCCTTATACCCGTATTGACCCTATCTTTTCCTTACCTATATAAAATCTAATAAAATGCTTTTGTTAAAAAAAGAGAAGCCTTTGGGGTGCCGCTCGTTTGAGGGGAGCTGCAAGCATGCATCAGCCCACCTCATGCAGCTGAGTTCCAAACAGGCCACAGCCGAGTAATGTGCCGTATGCCGGGGGCTGTAGACCCCTGCCCTAGGGGAAAAGAAAATTAAGAGTTAGGTGACCTCTCCTGAAACACCTGCTGGTTCAAGGTTATAGTTTAAACCAAGGGTAGGCAACCTTGGCTCTTTTATGACTCGTGGACTTCATTTCCAAGAATTCCTGAGCCAGCATGGCTCAGCTTGGAAACCTCTCCGTTTCCTCTCAGCATAGCTGGCTCAGGAATTCTGGGAGTTGAAGTCCACGAGTCATAAAAGAGCCAAGGTTGCCTACTCTTGGTTTAAACAACATCACCCTCTAAATCAGGGGTGTCAACCTGGCAGCCCGCGGGCCGGATAAGTCACATACAGCCCACGCCCACCCCGGCTCTGCAAAGGCAAAAAAAATCACGATACGTCATGTGATGTGATCGAGTTTGACACCCGTGCTCTAAATAATGGAGGGAGAGGGGGGGAGAAACAATTTCGGGTCTAGCTAAGCAAAAGAAAGGTGGGTGTTTGGAACTAGTAGAGAACGGGTATCTCATTCCGCTGACAGATTACTCATAAGTAAGCCAAAGGCAGGCTGCACAAGATGGAAAAAACTCTGATATATCAGTGGGCAGCTTGACACAAATGGTAGATGAAAAGCTGGAAGCTAATGAGAGAATTGCTCTATGGCAGTGGTGGCGAACCTATGGCACGGGTGCCAGAGGTGGCACTCAGAGTGCTCTCTGTAGGCAGCACGCTGTTGTCTCAGTCCTAGGCCTTCATCTGGTTTTTATAAAACCTTTTCGCTTTAGGCCTCCGCCACCGTGTGCAAAAAAAAAAAAAGTTCAATCAGTCAATTTCAACTTCTCGTGGGGAAAAAAAAAGATCTTCCAAAGTTGGAATTGATTGATTGAACTTTTTAGTCCCACCCAGTCTGCTGTTACCACTGCAGCCACGCCCACCCAATGGGCCACCCCGACCCAATTGGCCACACCCAGCCAATGGGCCACACCCACCCGGCACCCGACGATGCATAAGTGGGTTTTGGGTTGCAGTTTGGGCACTCGGTCTTTAAAAGGTTCGCCATCACTGCTCTATGGCTTTGGCTAGGAGTGATTGGAGGCTTGAATAGCCAGGGAAGGAGATGCAGACTAGAGTGGGAGGTTCCTGAAGAAGAGTGGTGCCTGAGATACCTGAGTTTGTATGCTGTAATGGTAGAGCAGGGATAAGTGGCTTGGTTTAGTATCTCCTAAGTTTCAGAAATGTGCTGCAGATCTCCACAGCTAACACTGAACATCTAGATGACCGTCACCCTTGAGGTCAGTAGCATCATTTAAAATCCTTAGTGCATTTGTCTTATACTGTTCACGCGTCTGTACCTTGTTTCCTCGTGACAGAAGTGAACCCTATTCACAACTAGAAATCCACTAGAAGTGGGAAGTTGGTGGGAAGTTGAGCAACAGACTTAGTTAAAATAAATATTATGGGAGCTGGAAATGATTCCGCTTTCAAAATCTCACAGTGGGAGGGAATCGGCTCTAAAACGTAAGACTGGTTTCTGTGTTATAGCAGGGACTAAAAATAGAGCATGTGGAAAACTGAATTAGATGATACATAATTCTGTGCATGTATGAATGTGCGTGTTGTATATTGTTGAGGACATACGTTGGCAGGGAAGTTGGAGATCAGTTTTGGAAGTTCTGCTTGTATCCATTCCACTCTCCGATAAGAAGCGTAAGATTGGCCAGTGCAAAGGGTGAGGTCCTTCTAGAGGTACCTATCCTTCAAATGTAGAATTCAATCCCAACTTAACTATGTATGGTTTGGATCAGTTTGGGTCTTTAAACCCATTCTTTATATCCGTACGTTTCTGCTCTGGTTTGTAGAAAGAACCTAGATGTTTCTGAACTGATTTTGCCACTGGTTGAAAATAGTTCTTAATGTTTTAAATACCACAGGTAGTCCTCGGCTTACAGCAATTCTTTAGTGACTGTTACAAAGTTACAACGGCACTGAAAGAAGTGGCTTACGACTGTTTTTCACACTTACAGAACGACTGCGGCAGGGTCCCCAAGGGTCATGTGATCAAAATTTGGATGCTTAGCAACCAGCATGTATTTATGATGGGTGGCCGCGTCCCTGGGGTCATGTGATCAGCTTTTGCAAAGTCAATGAGGAAGCCGGATTCGCTTAACAACTATGTTACTGAAATAACCGCAATGTTTCACTTAATAACTGTGGCAAGAAAGGTCGTAAAATGGGGCAAAACTTACTTAACAAATGTCTCACTTAGCAATATATATTTTGGGGTCAGTTGTGGATGTAAGTTGAGGACTACCTGTACTGCATTTATTTATTGACCAGTCAAAAGTCTGTCTTGTACTTTTTTGGCATCCTTTAAAATATCTACAGACATGTTGTTTGGAGCACCACATTCTTCCTAGACTAGGTTAAAAAATAATGCATAATGAGGGGCAAGCTATAAATTCTGCTATTTTGTTTTTCATTTATACTCTTCCTTTCCTAGTGCCTCAGAATGTCATACTGGGTTGAAGTTGCCCCCACAATACTCATTACAAACTTGCAACAGACCTGCAACTTGCAACTAGACAGTAATTGGTCCAGGATTGCTCAATAAATGTTGGGTTTTAGATGTGTGTGTGTGTGGGGGGGTTATTCAATATCTTTTCAGCCAAGAGCCAAAAAATTAACCGCCCTGCCTTTGTATGTATGTCATATAGCAGCCTATATTTACACATTCATTCAAGGTATTAAAGACATGCATTTTTTAAAAAGCCATTTTTAATTGTAGTTTGATTTCTGAGCTGGGACAATACCATTAACTATTTTATTTTTTTTTAAAGCAAGCTGTATTTAAAAGCAAGCAAAAAGTGAAAGCTCTTTAACCCTGCAGCAGTGACTTTGGCAACTTTGACAGACAAATGTTTTAGCTTCATTTCTCCTGTTCCTCTGACAAGTACATGTGATAATACTGAAACCATGAGAAGAATCTTAATGAGGGAGTCTCGGCATCTCCACCCTCTCCTCTGTGTGGGAATCAGATGATGAAATGTCTAGCAGCACAAATGCCGAAGGGTGTGTGTGTGAGAATATTAATCTGTCCACTTCCAAACATTTGATTCATAAGAAGTACAGCCACAGGTCATAGGAAAGGTGGACTTCCTGTATACTCTCAGCAAAGGAATATTTGTGCTGCTGTAATGCTTTCATTTTGATTATATGTGAGGTTTTGAAAACTCAGGGTAGGACAAGCAACCTCTAGCCTTCATTTTAAAAAATAATGAGGATCTTTCCATAATTACAACAACTCAAAAAAGAAGAGTCCGAACAAACCCTATACAAATGAATATTGTTTTCCTCTCATCCAGTTTTTGCATGCAGATTGCATGCACATCCAACTGCATCCAGTTTCGGTTACCACATTACAACAAAAATGTTGAGACTTTGGAAAAAGTGCAGAGAAGAGCAACTAGGATGATTAAAGGCCTGGAGACTAAAACATATGAAGAACGGTTGCAGGATTTAGGTTTGGCTAATCTAGAGAAAAGAAAGACTAGGGGTGACATGATAACAACATTCCAAAATTTGAGGGACTGCCACAAGGGGGGGGTCAACTTATTTTCCAAAGCATCAGAAGACAGGACAAGAAACAATGGGTGGAAACTAACCAAGGAGAGAAGCAACCTAGAATTAAGGAGAAACATCTTAACAGTGAGAACAATTAGCCAGTGGAACAGCTTGCCTCCAGATGTTGTGAGTGCTTCATCACTGGAGGTCTTTAGGAAGAGACTGGACAGCCATTAGTCTGAAATGGTATATGGTCTCCTACTTGAGCAGAGGGTTGGACTAGAAGACCTTGAGGCTCCCTTCCAGTTCTATTCAGATTGTGATTCATCTGTTTTGTTGATATGTCAATGAGAAAATATCAGCCTTGGTTGAGTTTGTCAAAACGTCATGTCGGGAATGATTATCTATTTGTCTTGCTTTTAGCTACTTAATTAATTAGACAGTTAATAGAAACACTCAATCTCAACCCAGGTCAATATGTGCAATTTTTAATAGCATCCAATAAGGATTTTTTTCTAAGTTAAATCAAGCTACGCAGTTTACCAATGGGCAAAGTTAATTTAAAATAAACACCTATTATTTCAAATACCCTTTCTTAATGAAGAAACCCGCAACATCAAAACAGAGCAAATAATCACTCCAGTTAGCAGAATTTAGGCTCAGCCTCTCCAAATATCCTGCCAGTCCAAACTGAAGTCTTGTCAAGATTTTTCTTCCAATTGAAACTTGCATTTTCTCCACAGAGATAGTGCAGAGTTACCTGCTGAACTGTCGTTGGCCACCATGATTATTCCTGATCAATTTTCTCTGTTGATATTGGCCAGACGGTTGCATGACTGAGGATGATACCCTCATTTCCCTATTTGGGACAGGAAGGTTTTAAAGTCAGTATAATTATTATTTTATTTACAGAATTTCAAAAACAGCCTATAATTCATCATCATCATCATCATCATTATCATCATCATCATCATTATTATTATTATTATTATTATTATGTGTCATCGCACAGTCAGCCAGATGTTCAGAATGGATTTGGCATTTTGTCTACCTATCGAGTCCTTACCCAGGACCTGGGATAGGCAGATGTGGATGTTTGATGGTATTACAGGTATTGTTGCAGGATGGAAGCAGTTCCTAGTAAGGCCGCCTTTTGCAATTGACTAATAGTGAATTTGTCAATGCCAATGGTGTTCAAGTGGTGCTCCAGTTGTTTTGGGATTGCACCCAAGGAGCCTATTACTATTGGCACTACCCTTGCTTGCCTTTGCCACAGTTGTTCTGTTTCTATTTGTAGGTCTTTGTATTTTGTTATCTTCTCCAGTTCTTTCTCGTCTATTCTGCTGTCTCCAGGCACTGCCACATCCACTATCCAGACTTTTTTGTCTTTCTTATCGACAATTGTTAAGTCTGGGGTGTTATGTTGCAGGTGCTTGTATTATTATTATTATTATTATTATTATTATTATTATTATTATTATTATTATTATTATTATTATTGGAAATAGAGGGATAGAAATCAGGACTTCAATGTTATATACAGTTAAGCATGTTCTTTATAATAGTGACTTTAGTACCACAGTGCTTTTAGATCTCAGAGTGACTTGGCTTTCTATTCAAATTTACCCAAGCAATTTTGACACAAAACCCCCAGCTAGTGAGTGATTTCCCAGCAGATCTTCCCCATTATGCCACTGCTATGTCATGACTGGCTTTCCACTTTTTGCTGTTTCCATGACAACGGTGATCTTTGATCTGCAAAAGAATAATGCATCACTAAGAGGTAGAAAACATTTTTGGGAACAGAAAGTGTAGTTCCCTCAAAGGAATAGATTTCAGACAGCAGGGCACTTACCATTAATCAGTATCATAATTGCAAGAACACAGGATAAATATGAATTCCTGTTGACGTCTTCTAATTTTCTAGGCTCCACGGACAAACTTGAAAATACGGGAAGCCTGTTTACAATAGCAACATCATTAGCCAGTATTCAAATCCTGCTGTGATTAGAAGTAGTAATAAAATTATAGCACAAAAGAGGCCTTGCTATAAATATAAAGACTAGGACGGCTTGAGAAAGATTGAGGGGCAGTTGAGAAAACGGATATTGGTCTAAGTATCAGAGGACAGCAAGGAGTGTTTACTACCAGGGGTTTCTTGTACCATATTCAAGAAACAAATTTAAGAGAATTTGTAGTCATGAAGTCTTTGGGATTCTCGTGTCCAGTGGCAGGAGCGACTAGCTCTTATATTTCCATAATGTCTGCAATTCCAAATTCAGCTGTGGGCCGGATGGGGGACTTGGAGTAGGCCCTGCAGAAGGCAATAGAAATTACTAATGGGCAAGGGGCTTCGGATAAAAATATATGGCTTTGAATAAAAATATAGCTAAACTTTGGCTTTGGATAAAAATATAGCTAAACTTCAGCAAGGCTCTTCCTATACTTGACAAGCAAGCATGTATAGTGTTAAAAACGCACAAGGTATGATTCCAATCTGTTTGTAATAAATCAATATTCATACACAGATTATGTGCTAGGGCAAAGATAACGTACTAAATGAATCAATAAGGGTTTGTGTTTATTTGCAGATGGCCTTTTATTGTGGCAAAAAGCCTACCAGCCAGGTATTACTTGCCTATTTCTAGATACAGTACTGCAGTATCTTGGTTTGATTTACTACCTTTCTGCATACAAATAGATAACTAAAGATACCATATCAAACATAAATTCTATTTGGTACTTCATGACAAATCCATATATTATATCCCTAAGAAAGAGAAGCTGAAAGTACAGTTTTAGAAGACTAAAAAAAAAAAAGATGGGAAATACAACAGATATTTTATCCAATATTATTTTTGTTAAAGTAACATGCAGAAATATATCTTTAATTCAAGCCACATACAGGTGGTTAGTTAGAACAGAGGTCCCCAACCTTTTGGGCACCTGAGACCAGTTCTGTGGAGAAAGGTTTTTCCACAGTCCAGAGAGTGTGTGGTTTTGTGTGTATGTGTATGTGTATATGTATGTGTATGTGTGTATATATAATCCTAAGATTGCAATCTTATGGTCATTAAGACAGTATTCTTGGTCATATTTTCCCATTATATATATATGTCTGTCTGTCTGTCTGTCTGTCTGTCTATCTATCTATCTATCTATCTATCTATCTATCTATCTATCTATCTATCTATCTATCTCCAGATAAATCAGATGGTTTATAAGTTTTATTTCCAAACAAGTATATTTACTTACTTGAAAATAAACCTGTAATCCTAACATTGCAAATCTTATGGTCATTAAAGACAGCATGTCTTCCAGATTGAAGACAAAGACTCTAGTTTTCAGACATTCCTTTCTACTTCTGTGAGGAAACTTTGAGGTCTCTGAAAAGGTTAAATCATGGCAACCGGGCCAAAGTTTGTTAATCTGAGGTGTTTCGTTACTCATCCTTACTTCATCAGTCAAAATAAAAAAAATTAGCTAGGCAGAGAGTCAGAGAGTCGTTGGAATGTACTAATTCTTGCCACATCAACTGCAGGGGTTTCTCCCCAAAATGTATTGCAATACATACTGTACGTGAAGAATCTTTGAGACCCTTGTGTTTCTGACAGCAAAATTTCAGTGATGATAGAGGTGAAAAGAGGACAATTATGAGACATGTTCTGGGTAGATAAGGAGAAACTTGGTTACTATAGAATCCAATCCCTGCCTCCCCCCAGTCATTTCTCTATGGTGAGAGTAGATAATTAGAGAAGGGGTCCAGCCTTGGCTGGGTAATTTGTCCTCCACTCTAGAATGGAAGTCAGGGTCCAACCATTATCAATAATAGCCAGTTTGATGGCACATTATTTGTCAGTCAATTATACTGAAATTTCACATTTGGGCAATATACACTTTGAGTAAATCTTTTTAAAATATTGATAGATAAGGGCCAATAGCAGTTAATGTATTTTGGGGGGCAGTGATAATGGATCCTTCTTGATGGTGGCAAAGTTTGGTGGCAATAGATTTCTTAGTTTTGGCAAAATGCTTGTGGGCTACACAGGAAGCCTGGCCTATGGGGCCTGACTTTTGGTGCACCCTGTATTTTGTTTTCCATGACACCACAGATATTTAGGCATCCATAGTTTTTGTGGCATAATTAATTGGTCTGTGTGATCAAATACTTTAGGCATAAAATCAAGGAAGAAAATGGGGAGCAGCAACTCTGAAGGATGAGTGATACACATGTCCACATTCTTACCGCAACTCGTCTATTTGCTGCTTTTTCCTGCTTGCTGTCGTCAGCCAACCTTACACAACTTCTAAAATTCTCTAAGGATTAGGTATCCAGATCACCAGTACACAATTTTCCCGAGCTTGGTGTCATGTTGACATGAGATGGTACACAAACCAAGAGTCACGCTACTGCTTGCATTTGTAAGCAAGCTGCAGTGCCAAGATCTGAGCATCTGGTTATATGTATTGATGAATTATAGACAAATCCCATTTTGTTTTCCTCAGAAACTGGCTCAAGATGTTATGCAAGAGAGTTGCAAGTTGTTCCAGCCAATGCCAAACTAGGCAAACCTTTTAATCTGCAAACCAAGCAATGGGGAGGAGGAAAAGGATACCTCCATGGAGCGACCTCTTAGTTGCCTGCCTGCCTGCCCAAAGAGTTCTGAAATTGCTTGAAAAAATAGGCGTGCTTGGAAAGTGCTTTTAAGCCTTTGATTATTGAATTTCAAATATTATTTTATTGTGTACCAAATATATTTTAATTTTATTCAGTGCCGGGGGATGGCATTCATAATATAAATAAAGTAATTGTATTTTAAAAGGGCTTAGTTATCTCTGAATGCAACGATTCATATGTGCCATGATCTCAGAGACCATTCTTTTAATATAATGAAGCAGGACTGGGGAAGTTTAAAAATCTGTCCCGTTACTGTTTTAATTTTGAATTCTTGCCACACAGAAAAAATAAATACATTTTATGAGAGGGCAGAGGGTTTTTTTAAACTCTCACAAAGAGCAGAGGGCAATGAAGGGCCTAAGATAAACAAATGAGTTGCATACTTAATGTAATGTGCACATTGTCTTCAAGCTGGTAGACTTCACTCCCAGGTCCATACAATGTTTCATGCAGCTATACCATTCTGAAAAGAGAGGCAGCTGCTTTAATGAGTCACACAGAAAAGTATGACATTCTTTTTTTTTTTTACTTTCCAAAGCATCTTCTCATTCTCTCTTAATTCACCTTTCCCTTCACTAAAATTCCTCAATATAGAGTCCTCCCCCATAATGTGATTGGTCCAATCTCTTTACAACGTTGGACATCCTTTTCTGCATTTTTCCCTTGCAATATTCCATGACTCCATCTGATCAATGCCAACAATGTGGATCTGCAGATATATGGATGTAAAGTGGGAAAGGGCCTGTGATCTAACTCAGGTGCGCTTGATGTACCTGCTAACTGCAGCTAAAGAAGCTGCACCTCCAGCACTGTGAAGGTACAATAAGTGCACTCTCACTGGATCCAAGCTATCATTCCCATATCAGACCCAAATATCTGCACATTGACAGTAATGCAAATTCATCTGAATGAACAGTCAAATACCTAATATCAAAGCCAAATACCTATGCCACTATTGATGTCTAGTTGAGTTGATCACAAAACAAAGCTAGGTAGTGTTGGATCCATTACAAGCTGAACGAGAATCTGTCAGGAAGTATCCATTTCTATCTTCAATGTCTTTACAGATATTATTATAATACTGGTTCTTGTCTAAGAACTCTCTGAAATTCTTTGTTTTTTTCCTGAGATCTTTGTCTTTCTTGGCTTTGGCTTTTGTTCTCCTTTTTTGGCTATTTCTACCATTTGTTCATATCATTTGCTTTCTTCTGCTTCTTCTTCTTCAGCAGTCTTTTTCATCCATAGCAAGCTATTTCATTACCTTCCATAGTTCCTCTGGTTCCCCATTAATGAGATTCAGGACTTCAAAATAATTCATGATGTCTGCCTTGCAAATGGTCAGTATATGGTCAAGTTCATATTGAGGAAACCGATTGACTTTTTTCTTCCAATATTACTTAACTTGGAACGTGCTCGTGAGCAGTTTGTGATCTGTTCAACAAACACCATGTATTCCATCTGGTGCATTCCATCTGGTGATACCCATGTATATAAGCATAATTTGGGCTGTTTGAAGATTGTTTTAGCAACGAAGAAATAATTGGATTGGCAGCAATTAAGTTTACTACTTAATGTATACTGTGTTAATCTGCACTAGGTCCACTTTGCAAGGAGTAAGCCCCATGGAATTGAGGTGAAATGTTTACATTTGAGTAAACATGACCAGAATGATATTGCTAGTCTGTGATAGTCCTGAACTTCAGTTTGTTAGCCATTTTTATTTCCTCCATTTGTATCTATCTTGCACCAGTGGCAGCATCACTGTGGGCCGCTGCGTGAGGCTCACGTGGGATGGTGGTGTGATCCTTGCCATAAGCCTAGCGGCGCAGGTGCCCAAGCCTCACAGAGGTTCCAGCGTTGCTGAGAACCTCGCACACATTATTCGCAGCCCCGTTTGCATGGTGTGCATGCTCGCGGCCTGTTTGTGCGCTGTGCGCATCTGTGGCCACATTCATATTTGCGCCTGTGCCCATAAAATGCCTGCCCCTCCCTCTCCCACCGGGCTGCCAACCCAGAAAGGTTGGGGACCCCTGATCTAGGTTCTTGATTTAAACATAGTGACAAGACTGAGTGAGAAAATTTGAAGCCCATTTAGACTCCTATGCTAGCAACAGGGAAGGAGGAAAGGGCAAAAAAAAGTATCCTAACCACCCTGCCTGTTTGCTTGGGATTCCAACTCTAGTTCCCAAAATGCTGCATTGCATCTTGGGCACCACATATCAGCTAGCCTGGGACCTATCTTTTTGCAACTTGCTTTGGCTCTTGTTTATCGATTATACCATCATTGGGGGGGGGCATGCGTCTGCATGCACACACGTGCAGCCTAGGTCTGCTATTCTGAGTGTTACAACCACCTTTCTTTCTTGTTATTTGAATGGTTTGCTCAATATTGAAAAAGAGCACAACTCCCATCATATTATGCTGCCTGCATTCTCTGAAGAGATGAAGGCTAAGTCATGTGCAGTTTGTAACCATGGTATTCAGACCATATCCTTGTACTAGCCTGCTAAAAAGTTGAGTAGTTCAGCAGTGCAGCTTTGAAAAATGGGAATTAGCGTATGACGGCCCCTCCAGATGTTCTCAGAAATGGTTTTACTCTGCTCAGTAAGCCTGATGTGTAGTAGCTTTCTCATAAATTACTACTGTGGCTTTGCAGAGTGTTGGAATAAGGTGAGCTTTGAATCATTAAAATGAGGGAATGGGGGGTCCTCTCTTCCACTATCTAACCTAATTTACAGGATTTCTTTGAGGATAATGCTGGGAAGGAAATAAAGAAATAACAGGACCTTGGAGGTCTTCTAGTCCGACACCCTGCTCAAGCAGAAGACATAATCATAATCATAATAACAACAACAATAATAATAAAAATAAAGTTGGAAGGGACCATGTAGGTCTTCTAGTCCGACCCCCTGCTCAAACAGAAGACATCATCATCATCATCATCATCATCATCATCATCATCATCATCATCATAAAGTTGGAAGGGACCTTGGAGGACATCTAGTCCAACCCCCTGCTCAGACAGGAGACCCTATATCAGTGGTGGCGAACCTATGGCATGCGTGCCAGAAGCGGCACTCGGAGCCCTCTCTGTGGGCACACGTGCCATTGCCCTAGCCTCGCCTCTCCCTACGATCCCCTCCTCACCAGCAGCCCCCCTGGAGGAGAGTCGCCCCTGAGTGTGGCCCATGCGGAGCAGGGCAGCCAAGGACATGGCAGCCAGGCAGCATAGACAACACTCTGCCCTCACACCCCATCGCACAGTTGCTGCGGGGCGCAGGCACAGGACGTGGCCACAGTGATGCTGCTGGGCTGCCTGGGCAATCTGCGGCGGGCCCTGGAGGCGGTGAGTGGCCCTGCGGGCAGGCAGGGTGAGGGTGGGGCAAGGGGTGGAGCGGGGTCGGGGCCAGTTTTTGGGCACTTGGTCTCTAAAAGATTCGCCATGACTGTCCTATACCATTTCAGACAAATGGCTGTCCAGTTTCTTCTTTAAAACTTCCAGTGTTGGAGCATTCACAGCTTCTGGAGGCAGGTTGTTCCACTGGTTAATTGTTTTGACTATCAAGATATGTCTCCTTAGTTCTAGGTTGCTTCTCTCTTTGATTAGTTTCCATCTGTTGCTTCTTGTCTTGCCTTCAGGCGCTTTGGAGAATAGCTATATGATTCTGGACAAATGGTGTCCAATCTCTTCTTGAAAACCTCCAGTGATGGAGCACCCACAAAGCAAGCTGCAAATTTATCTTCTAGTTCTAGGTGGGATCTTTTTGTTTCCAAAGGATGGATATAAATCAAACCACTAGTAACCACCAGTAGAATTCTGTGGGAATATCTGGACTGCCCAAATTCAGCCAATTATTGAACCTACAGCAAGCAGAAATTTTCTGAATTTGTTTATCATTATTTGTATAGAATGTATATGTAATTCATCTAATGGGCTTCCAGATTCTCTTAGCCCATATAGTTTGCCTAAATTCCATGTCAACCTTTGTCCTTTGGTTTCCCAACTGTATCCTCCTCTAGTACAGAAATTACTGTTGTCCTGTATATTTTTCAGACACAATTGCTTAAGAGCTTCTCATCATTTTTAAGCTCGTTCATTGTTCCAAGCTGCAAGGTATGTGGGGTTTTGTTTCTTCTTGTTACACATCTGTTCAACTTCCCGATTCAAATAGAAACCGAACCAAAACAACTTTTAGGAGGATCTCGCTCGTCATTTCTTCTTTTGGGAATAAATGGAAAGGTGGGAAGGTGGCTCTGGATTGCTGTAGAAGAAAGCCCAGGGAAAGTCAGGATGCTGATATCATCTTACAGCTGAGATACAAAAATCTCACATCTTACCCTTGAACTTTCCTTCTTCCCCTTAAAAAAATAAATAAAAGCAATTTCTTTTCCATCAGATAAAGGCAGTGCTGAGAAGGGAGAAACAATCTCTGATGGTCAGGGGTAGGCAACCTTGGCTCTTTTATGACTCGTGGACTTCAACTCCCAGAATTCCTGAGCCAGCCATGCTGAGGGGAAAGGGAGAGGTTTCCAAGCTGAGCCATGCTGGCTCAGGAATTCTGGGAGTTGAAGTCTACGAGTCATAAAAGAGCCAAGGTTGCCTATCCCTGGTCTAGACAAATAGTATTAAATGTTACCAATAAAGGAGAATACAGGTAGTCCTCGAATTGTGACCACAATTGAGCCTAGAATTTATGTTGCTAAGTGAGAAATTTCTCAAGTGAGTTTTGCCCCATTTTTTTGCCACATTTATTAAGTGAATCACTGCAGTTGTTAAATGAATAACATGGTTCTTAAGTGAATCTGGCTTCCCCATTGACTTGGCTTGTCAGAAGGTCACAAAAGGGGATCACATGATCCCAGGACACTACAACCATCTATAAATATGAACCAGTTGTCAAGCACCCGAATGTAAATCATGTGACCATGGGGATGCTGCAATGGTCATTAAGTGTGAAAAATGGACATAAGTCACTTTTTTCAGGGCCCTTGTAACTTCGGTCACTAAGTGAACTGTTCTAAGTCGAGGACTACCTGTGTTTGTAGCTCAGGGTTAAAACGAGGGATCCCTGGTGCTCTCTGAGCTTAGTTGGTTTCCTGCAGACGTTTCATTACCCAAGCTAGATAACAGCATCAGTGCTATTATTAAGTGTTACCTTTTCCTTGTTAGATAGCTTCACCTTCGGCATTCGCACCCTTCACCATATGGCGTGGCAAACTCTTGTCCCAGATATAATGTGTTCAATAGATTCTGTTTTCTTCTCCCGGGTGGATTGGCCTTCTGCAGAACTGTCAACACCAATCACTGATTTAATGGTATGTTAATCAGAGAGTTAAGGGCAATCAGAGCTATTCTCTGATGTACAAGATTACTTTTGATACACACACTCAGTCTCTCCCACTGAAACCTGCCCGCCTTGATTTCCTTCTCTCTCTCTCTCTCTCTCTCTTTTTTTTTTTTTATACTTCCTCCAACATCACATTCTGGGATTGGCAGCCAAGCTCGGGTTGTTGAAAGATATGCCGTACAGATAATTATACAGGTGCTGCTTCTGCTCCACATAAAAGGGAGTAATTGCTAGGTGATTAAAATCCTACTTCTCCTCACAGCACCCCCTCCCCGCCCCCACCCCTTTCCCGGTCATGGAGTAAAAGAAGCATCTCTCCTTCAAGCTTGGCAAGCTTTCAAAAAATGAAAAAAAAAATGAATTTCACGATAAAGATAGAAGCTTGAAAGATAGAAGGGCAGAAGAACGAAGGTCCAGCTCTCTCCATCTGATTCTTTCAAGCAGCTGGAGTGCTCATAGCACATAACCCGGGACCTCTTCATTTCTGCCTGGGTATCCACGGTGGACTCAAGATGAGCCTCAGCTGTTTTCTACCAGCATGTCATTTAATCCTGCCTTGCTGGTGGAGAGGGCTGAATGGGAACTTTCTTAAGGTCCCTTGACCTTGCAGCTGGCAAGGGTAATACTACTCTACCTTGACAATGGAAAGGTTTCTGGGATGGGCCCACAACTCAAATAAGAAGCCTAGCTTTCTAAATGCAGGGATGGGCTTCGCTAGACCATTATGCTGCCCAGAGAGGCTGAAATGGCTTGTCATTTTTGCTTCGGGATCTGAGAGACAGGACAGGTTGCCAACACAAAAGGAACCGACAGTATAAAACCCTCCAAATCATCCCAGAGTCTCCTTGAAGAGAAGTGGAGTTGGCCAGCAACGTGGCTCCTTATTCTACCCCTTTTTGTCTCTTTTTTTTTTGAACAGAACCAAAAAGACTGCCAAACAAAATATTTCACCCCGCTTTGAAGTACTGCGTTTACTCCACCCTTAGCTAATATTGAAAGAATTTGGATTTACAAGAGGGTGTATGTTGGAGGGCCAAAGGAGTAGAGGGATGCCAATAGAATTACACCTTCACAAGACAGGCCCTGCACCTTTTCTACATGTGTCCAGCCATCCACAAGAATTGGGCCGGTATCCTTTTCTCTTTTGTAGTAAATGTTGAAAGCAAGTTCTCTTTCCTCAAAATGAATACAGGAAGAATTGTGTTGTCATCCCGGCTTGTCTTATACATACCTAAGATCAGACCTTGTCTGACTTTTATTAATTTTATTGTGAATCTCAGTGATTCCATGGTAACGCAGTGGTTAGAATGCAGTATTGCAGGCTAATTCTGCCGACTGCCAACAGTTCAATCCTGACCGGCTCAAGGCTGATTCAGCCTTCCATCCTTCTGAGGCCGGTAAAATGAGGACCCAGATTGTTGGGGGCAATATGCAAATAATGTTCTATACTGTAAACCACCCAGAGAGTGCTGTAAAGCACTAGGGGTCGTTATATAAGTCTAAGTGCTATTGCTACCATATTTAGCCATTGGCAACTCATAGATTTGGTGGGACGTCCAGTGGAACAGTTCAGGATTAAAACATTTGAGCCTTTTTGTCCTTCAGTTCTCTGTACCCTTGAACAGGGAAGAATTATAATCTCTTGGATTGCCTGATGAATAACTCAGAAACTCAATAGCACAGCTTGGCAAATTCTTGCTCCTTTCCATCCATCCTTAAGTGCATTAGCTGTTGAGGCTTTCATACGAAGGATTCTAGTGAGGTTGGGAAGGTCATCATCAGCTGGCAAGTCAGGTCAGAATGGATTTGGCATTCATTCTTTTCTCGTGGGTTAGTATTCAGCATGCAGAGAAGTGGCTACAATAGCTTGATAGGCATCTGAGCAGATAAGAGAGGACTTTCGCCGAGTAACAAAATAATGGCTGATGTGATAACCATCATTATCCTTTCCCACAGAAAACAGTCCTTATAAGCAGCCTTTGCAATAATAAGAAAGTGTGCTGTGAATTGTTTGGAAAAGTTGTGTTGCTGCCTAAAAGTGTAAAGGTCATGCTATCCTTTCATGTAAAAAGGTTTCCATTCAAATTAGCATTTTCTATTATCTGCCTTAGTCCAGTGATGCTGGCAAGGCTTTCTAATTGTCTGGCGGGGGGGAAGTATTTGCTCTTAAGAATGGTCCCTGCCTGAAAAACAAAGAAACAAACAAACAAATATCTTCACACCGATGCTGGTTTAGTGGATGACAAGAACAAGGCTACAGGGCTACACAAGGAGCCCTAGTGGCGCAGTGGTTAAAGTGTAGTATTGCAGGCAAAACTCTGCTCCCATCCTGGAGTTTGATCCTGACAGGGCTCAAGGTTGACTCAGCCTTCCATCCTTCTGAAGTCAGTAAAATGAGGAGCCAGATTGTTGAGGGAAATATGCAAGTACTGCTTCTATATTGTAAACCATCCAGAGAGTGCTGTAAAATGGAATGGGGCGGTATTTAAGTCTAAATGCTATTGCCACTTCCCATGCCAAGGATGGGCAGGGCTTGAACGAAAAGGAGCAATGGAAAATATTTTCTCCACGTCTAAGGGATGAGAACATCCCAAATGGTCCCAGAATTGCAGCCTTCTTTGCTCCCTTGCCTCTTGTGCCATTGTCCATGAAACTGGAAGTGTAACTGATAAGGATGGGGTGGAGCAAATTGGTATCTGTAATCTTGTATGCTCATTTTATGTATAGAAGTAAAGTAGTATTCAAGAATTCAACGCTTTAAAACCTTTTTTGCGAACATTAACGTCCACAAGGTGTATATGGACTTTTATGCAGTTTGTATGTTATCTGTGATCAGCTCCTGCTAGGAGTAACCTGAATAATGTACCAGACAGACACACAGCCTCAAACCACAAGTGAAACAAGATGTTTACGGATCTGGGTTTGTTTGAAAATCTTCCCTACTTCCATACAGTTGACAGTTGAGGAGTATTAAAACTATTTTATTTATAATTTGGTCCGGTAGGTTGAGCATGCTGCAAGTCCATCAACCGAGGAATGTCAGCTGACAGGGACCAGAAAATATGTCTTCTCTTCTCCAAAGCCTTTTGGAACATTCTTCCTTCGGATATTAGGATGGCCCTGACCCTGCTTTTGTAAGGTTTTTTTTAGAAGCTTTTGTAAGGTTTTAAAAACCTGGCTATGTGCTCTGCCCGGCCCCTGAATATGTTAAGCGCCCTGTTTCATGGCTATACGGACAATTATTGTGATAATATTCTTAATTGCTGTATATATATATTTATTTTTGTAATGTTTTTAGAATTGCTCAGAGTCACCAGCTTGAAATGGACAGCTGTAGGAATTAAATAAATAAATACAAATTAGCCGATGACCAGTTCTGGCAATAATTTCTCATATTAGCCTTTCAAAATTAGAAAGATTAATGCAATTAATATGCAAGACATGCCAATGCATGCTAAAAAGGCATATTATTTCCACAACATTTGAAAAATGCAGTGACTCAGAACATCAAGAAAACAAGCATTTTCAAACTTTGCTATGCCACGAACACTAAAATTTCAGATGCAACTATCCTTTCTCATTACTTTGACGTCAGAAATGTGGAAACCCACTCTAAATAATACAATTTCAAGCAAGATTATGTTGAAATCCTCAAGAGGTTTTGGAGTGTAAGATGGACAGGCAAAAAAATCCGTTGCACATAAAGAATTCCCTTTGAACTAGATAGCATTTCTTCATAATAAAAGATTAGAAAATTTAGCTTTAGTTTTGTTTTATTCAAAGAAAGGGAAATGACGGGGAATACCTTCCTTTTCCTATGCAGTGTGGATAATAGTGAAATCCTTACAGAGAATCTATACCTGTCTAGCTGTTTTCTATCTATCTGTCTGTCTGCTAAGCTGTCTAGTTAACTAGCTATTTAGCTCACTGTCTAGCTAATTACTATCTAGCTGTCTAGCTATCTAGTTATCTAGCTATCTCTATCTATCTATCTATCTATCTATCTATCTATCTATCTATCTATCTATCTATCTATCTATTCTTTTTTTCTTTCTCTCTCCCTCCCTACCTCCCTACCTCCCTACTTCCCTATCTATCAGTCACATATCTTTGGTTTGAATATACAGCTGTTGTGATATATGATTAAATTATTAAAATAATTCTAAAGGTTTTACTAGTTAAGAGGCAACAGCTGCCATCCTAACTCAGTTACCATACTTCTAGTTTTAACTGAATAGATGGAATACAGTTTTATGCCCAGAGAACTAAACAACCACGTGCAAGTATAAACATTAGTGAGATTTTTTTTTCACATATAACACAATAAAGCACATTTATTAAAAAGAAAGAGAAATGCTAAGGCCTAGGATTTTCAGTCACATTGGAGCTAAGTTGTAAAGTTGCATTCCCTCCCCCACCCCCCGCCGCTTCACCTAGACAAACAGAAATCCCAGAACACAGTTCTGTGAAGGTTCCTGATTTGTCTGTACATGCCAAGCCTAATTTCTCTCTGATGCTTTCCAGACTTTTCCACTTTTCCTGGATAAGCTACTTTCTCTAGGCCAGTGATTCTCAACCTGTGGGTCGGGACCCCATTTGGGGTCGAACGACCATTTCACGGGGGTCACCAAACAACGCAGTCCGCCATTTTTTCCCCCTTTTCCTTAGCTGTGCTACTCCCTTTTATTCTATTGGCTTTTGAAAGCCAACAGAATAGACTCTCTTGAATAGAGTCTAATTCTATTGGCTTTCAAAAGCCAATAGGAATTGTCCAGGCTGTCTCTGCTCTGCTGAGCCCGCCAAAAGTCCCATTCTGCAAACGGTGCTGCACCAGTTGAGTAGTCCTCGACTTACAACCGGTTGGGGGTCGCGGCATTAAAAAGTTGAGAACCACTGCTCTAGGCAGAGCAAGAAAAATGTGAAGTTTTGATTTAGGTATAAAGTATGTGGTAATTCTTTGACAAACCAGGTAGAATAAGCTAAATAATATGCCTGCCAAGTCCCAATCAATTAAGAAAACTTAATCCGTTTTTATAACCATGGTGTCACCCCGTCTTTGGCACCCACTCCAATAAAAGAAGCACCTCGCCAGGAACGGAGAACACCCAGTTTATTATGCACGAACAAACGGAATAAAGTCAGCACTGACGATGTATACACCCATTCCCTTTTTATACAATTACTGAAACCGCGCCTAAACCACACCCCCTATCACCGCCCATACACCCAACGTCCCAAATGTTGCTTCGTCATCCTGACCTAAACGTTTCCCGACGCCCCGGCCGCTTCCCGACGCCCCAGCCGTTTCCCGACGATTCGCGACTCTTCAGTAGTTCCTAACAATGTCTGGTAATGCGTCCGCGGTCTCCTCCAGCCGCGCATGCCCCGTTGATCTCCAACAGTCCCTGGCGTCTGCGCATGTGCACCCACCGGCCGGCTGTCACTCCGTAAGACAGATTGTTGGCTTCCCCGGCGCGCTCGGCTGTCCGTTTACATGGCGGGCCGGCTATAAGTTGTTCCGGGCGGATGTCTGCTGCTGCATTCAGGGTAGGCGGCCCGACATACTGCCCCCTTCTACCAGGGCTCCCCCTGGGAAAGAAAAGTAGGGTTACATCGTTTCCATGACTTCGTTTATCCACTCCCCCCTGGCCCGGTCAATTTCGGTTTCCCAGGGTTATTCTGGTGGAATCGTTTCACTAGGCGGGGGGCTCGTACTTCGTCCACCCGTACCCATGTAGCATCCGTCAACGGATAGCCTTTCCATTTGACCAGATAATACAATTCCCCTCTTTGTACCCGGGAATCGAGTATTTCTTGTACCTCATAAAAATTATTACTGACGGGACCTGGTTCAGATTTCTTTTGGTACATATAGACCGGTTTGATTAAGCTACAATGGAATACTGGGTGCACTTTGCCCAGTAATCTGGGTAAGTGCAATTGCACAGTTACCGGGTTAATGATCTTCACAATTTTAAACGGACCAATATATTTGGGCGCCAATTTTTTGCAAGGGACCTTCAATTTCAGATACTTGGTGGACAGATATACTAGTTGACCTATCCGAAATGGTTTACAGGGTTGCCTTCTCTTGTCCGCCTGCTTCCGCATCCTTCTTCCATATTCTGCTAACGCTGTTCTTACTGCCGCCCATGCTCCTGACACCCATTGAACCCACTCTTGGGGAAGGTAAGACTGTGTCTGTAAATCCATACATTCAGGTATAGGTACAAAATCCTTTCCCGAGACTACCTTAAAAGGGGCAAATCCAGTACTGGTATGCACCGCATTATTATACGCCACTTCCGCAAATACCAAAAGATCAGCCCAGTTAGCCTGTTGATAGGAAACGTAACTCCGTAAAAATCTCTCAACGGCTGCGTTTGCCCGTTCAGCAGCTCCGTTCGTGGCGGGATGGTATGCGGTGCTGAGCCCCTGTGACGTCCCCAGAAGCGCCGTAAAACCCCTCCAAAATCTCGCGGTAAACTGAACCCCCCGATCCGATATTATGCGCCGAGGGGCTCCATGGATCCGATATATATGTGTCAAAAACATGTATGCCAATCGTTTAGCCGTTGGTAATCGTTTACACGGAATGAAATGTGCCTGTTTTGAAAACAGGTCGATTACTGTCCAAATGACAGTATATCCTCTACTGCTTGGTAATCCTACAATAAAATCCATGGCAATATCTTGCCATGGATGCTCAGGGTTGGCCACTGGCTGTAGATATCCCACCGGCTTTCCTGGCTGATTTTTACAAGCAGCACATACAGAACATGCCTTTATATAATGTGCCACATCTTTTCTTAATGTAGGCCACCAAAATTGGCGCCTAATTAAATGTAAGGTCTTGACGAACCCAAAATGCCCCGCTAATTGTGCATCATGGCACCTCTGAAGAACCTTGGCCCTTAAAACAAGGGGAACATATAGCTTCCTACCAAACCATGCCAACCCGTCCCTCTGAGTGAACAGCGAACAATGGGTTTGGAACCACGAATCCTGGGACAACACCTTCCTCAGTTCCACCTCAAAATTATCGAAATTGGAACGGACTCTTAGCCTACTCACCCCCTGGGTATATGGTGGCAAAATAGCCTGTACTACTTCCTCTCGTTGGCTCTCGTACTGAGGTAACCTGGACAAGGCATCTGCCAAGAAATTACGTCCCCCAGGAACATATTTAAGTCGGAAGGTGAACCGTTGAAAGTATTGTGCCCACCTCACATGCTTTGGTGCTAAGCGTCGGGGGGATTGCAATATAGCTAAGTTTTTATGGTCCGTCCATATCTCTATTTCATGTGTCGCGCCTTCTAGAAGATGCCTCCATGTTACTAGGGCCCATTTAATAGCGAAGGCCTCCTTCTCCCATATAGCCCATCTCCTTTCAGCTTCTGTCAGTTTGCGCGAGGTGTAAGCGCATGGTTGTAAGGTTTCCTTATCATTTCGTTGTAACAAAACTGCACCCACTGCCACATCACTCGCATCAGCTTGGACAATATACTGCTTATCGGGATTTGGATGTAATAAAATGGGCTCTTGAGCAAACAATGTCTTTAAATATTCAAAAGCAGCTTGACTTTCCTTGGACCACGCTAGTGGTTGACTAGAGCGTACCTTAACTGGGGAGTTCCTCGTTTTCAACAATTCTGTGAGAGGCAAAGCCACCCGTGCAAAATTAGGGATGAACTGCCTATAGAAATTTGCGAACCCCAGGAAGCTCTGCAATTGCCGTCTCGTCCGAGGGGCCTGCCATTCGAGTACCGTCCTCACCTTTTCTGGATCCATTTCGATACCCGAAGCTGATATTTTGTATCCCAAATATTCAATACAGGTTTTATGGAATTCGCATTTCGAAAGCTTCACAAACAACTGAGCTTTAAGGAGTTTGCGTAATACTTCCCTGACTAACCGTATGTGTTCTGTCATAGTTTTAGAATATATTAAAATGTCATCCAGATAAACCAACACCCCGCGATATAGATGATCATGTAATACCGCGTTAATGGTCTGCATGAATACTGCAGGCGCTCCTTTAAGGCCAAATGGCATAACAGTAAACTGGAAACTGCCTAAAGGGCAGTTGAATGCGGTCTTCCACTCATCCCCCGGCTTTATTCGGATGCGATAATAAGCCTCCCGTAAGTCAAGCTTAGTAAACACCCTCCCTAGGGATAAATGAGATAGCATGTCCTTTAACAAGGGTAATGGATACATATTTTCGGTGCTCACCGCATTTAACCCCCTGAAATCCACACACAACCGCAACCCACCATCCTTTTTCCCTTGGAATATCACTGGGGCCGCTATTCTCGATCGGGCCGGCTCTATAAACCCCCGTTCCAGGTTAGTATCAATATACTTCCTTAGTTCCACCAACTCCTTAGGTGACATGGGATACATCCGGGGCTTTGGCAGCTTCGCCCCCGGTATGATGTCTATTGCACAGTCCGTGGAACGGTGTGGTGGCAACGTATCACACTCCCGTTCGCTGAATACCTCCTTTAGATCGTCATACTCCACAGGGAATAGCCGTGCCGTCCCGGTAGCTTCCACTGCTACCTTACTTCTTTCCGTGTGTTGTGTTTCCCTAAGGGGTGATTGTTTCTGTGGCTTCTTTTTGCCATTACCTGGAGCCCGGGGACCTGTTACCAACCTCATACGACGATACCCATCTGCCCACCAAATCACCGGCTGCCATTTGTCAAGCCAAGCCAGCCCTAGAATCACTTCCTCAATCATTGAGGGAATTACAATGAAACGGAGCAACTCCCAATGCTCCCCCATCTCCAATCGGACCGGCTCGGTTACCTGACATACCGGCGCCCCCCCTAATAAAGAACCATCCACTTGTTCAAAATTAATAGGTCGAGATAGGTTGACCAATCTAAGCTCCAACATATTTGCTAATTTCCGACTAATCAAACATCGAGTACAACCCGAATCTATTAAAGCCTTACAGTTTTTATATTGTCCCGATCTACAATTCGTCAGACGTATCGATATATTAAACGGTACCACCGGCGTACAT